TTATTATATTATATAATATTATATACATATTGTATACTAGTCCGGTATACGCTGTCCTAGCTAACCTAGCAGCCGCACTAAAAACAAAAAGGCGCGCACCATATGAATATTCTCTCTGTCTCCGTTATCCCGGAGAATTTAACTTAATCACCAGCGCAGAACGATGCGATCCACTCTAGCGTTTAAAGTGAAGTCGGCAGAGATAGTACTTCTTAAGCGAATCAAACGCCCCAGTGATTTTTAACTATCATCCTTCTTTCCCTACTACCCCGACTTCCTAGCCAAGTGTCGCATATATCCTATCCCCGTCTCTCCTATTGACAATCCCTCCCCGATATTTATAGTCACGGTCTCTTTATTTCTATCTACTTTTCTCAAAATTTGGTGGCAAAGGCATAGTCTCTGACTCGGTGGAGCTTGACCGGTTAAATCGGTTAAATTCCAAAGTAAATAGACTGTGAATTTTTATGCAAATCTGTAATTAGTCGAGAGCTAGAGAAACGAAAGGTAAAAGAACAAAGAATTTTTTCACTCGCGAGATATCGCAAGAGACATTTTATCAAGATATTATAATGTATTATTAATCTTTTCTATTTTATTAAAAATACGACAGAATTCATAAACGATACGTCGGAAGATCAGTAGTTTGTACAACTGAAGTTCATGTGATAGTAATTTACAGTGAGACAAGTGAAAATAATTAAAATTTCGTTCAAATAAATATAATTAATATAACGAAAAGTCCTACTGCCTTTTTGGACAAATTTTGCAACATTCTTCCAATGAAAAATAAATAGATTTATCACTCAATCAAATGTACATCGGCGTTTTTATAATTCCTGCAAGTGCATAAAAGTTCACAGTCTAGTTACCAACGTGCCTCCCTCGGAAGGAGAACGGAATCTTCGTTGTAAGATCTAAATTATAGGATGCATAATTTCCTCAGGGCCAGCGGTAAAACAAGTCGAGAACACTTGATCAGCTCCTGGCTAATCGATCGAAGAGAGAAGTTTCTGTACGTTCGAACGAATCGAAGCTGCTTCGTACAAGCAACTCGGCAAACTTGTATAGGATGCATCGATTATTACGTGCTTCCGACTATGTGCTACGGTGTTTCGTGAGATTGAGTCCCGTTGCCGCGAGAACGAGGAGGAAAGAACCACGTCACATCGCGATTCTATGCACACCAAAGACTAAAAAGGTGTTAGAAAACAGAAATATACATTATCGTTCGTAAATATCTGGAGACTTTCATCACAATTTGTAGAGAGTAACAATGTGACAATTGCAAATTTTATTTTAACGATAAAATAACTATTAATTAGCACATTTCTCATGATACCAGCAAACTACAGATCTAAATTATTGACTGTATTACGATTCTATCTAGATTCTGATAAGTAGTAAGTAAATTCACTTATTATTTTGTCAAAAAATTTTTTTACTAACTTGGAAAATCTCCCTCGATCTAATCTATGATTCAGATATTACAGAATTTAAAGAACTTGTCATTAGTAAGATACTAAGTTAAAATGAATAATAAAACAATTTATAATGAAAATATTAAAATTTCACTATTAGCTTGTTATGAAGAATATTGATGAGATTTTCTCTTTTCTCAAATTTAAGGAGAATTTCAAATTTAAAGAGGATGATGTGAAAATTGCTTGGAATATAGTTATTATTTAGGTATTATCATCCAGATAATATTCAACGCCATTCAATTAATTTAAAACTATATTCTAAAAATTTATTACATCCAGATCTAATCTTCAGAAACCTAGTTAATCATTGAGAAATTCACGAAGTTTTATTTGACAATAAGATCCATGTTTCACATCCATCAAGCTAATATTCATAGACACGATTACAAATAAAAGTAAAATTATTACAACTCGATTTATCCGTAATTTTACAATAAAATCAAATGTACGGCAAGTGTACAGGTATTTCTGAACGATAAAATGTAACCAGTTTGGACGTCTCCTCGTGTACACGACCACGGAACATTTGCATGAATGTGGCAATAAACGAGTGTATAATCCATTATAACGCTTAAACGTAAAACTAGTTTCCATTGAATCGAGGTGCTGCTCCGAAAAACAATACCCTCATTTTACAAGGTATTTCTGATTCTTATCTAGAAAATAAATAAACATCTGTCAACGAACGATGTAACTCACGTCGTGTTCGAATCGGAAATACCCTGTACGATTTCTCTCGCCATTTCTTCGATTCTTTTCCGACAAAAAGCTAATTAATAGATAAGATACTCTAGTGACATTTTTGTGGAGTGGAAAGAATCGAAGAACGAGAATCAGGGTTTCTATTAGTCGCGCGGAGCGTTCTTTTCATTTTAGTTCTTTAATTTGTCAAGGAAAAAGAAAAATCGCGTAACTGGGTGGTGGTGGGTACAGATCGTAAAAATTTACAGTTAGAGAGAACAGAGAGGGAGAAATAGAAATGAACAAAAAGAATGGACGCGCAAACGTAACAC